TGTGTGTGTGTGTGTGTGTGTGTGTGTGTGTGATTGTGTGTTTGTGTACATATATGTACATTTATAGTTCAATCAGGTAAATTTAATCTTGTTTTTAAAATGTTAAGAAATTATTTATATGTATATTTTATATTATAGTTATATCATTTTATATAATATATTGTAATATATATGTAATATTTCTAATATCAATTCTCATACAATTCTTTCAGGAAAATTAAAGATGTTTGCATTTTTTAATGACAAATTGCATTTTTTGCAATGAAGATCATAGTTCTGCTGCAGGACCCTTCAATGCCTTCAAATTTGTTGTTTCTGTCTAACGTTTAGCTCTTTATGGTTGACAATGGAGCAGACGACTGGCGGATAGCCATGACGTACGAGCGTATCCTGTTCATCGTTTTGGAGCTGCTGGTGTGTGCCATCCACCCCATTCCAGGTCAGTACGTCTTCACCTGGACCGCCCGCCTGGCCTTCACCTACACCCCGTCTGTGGCGGATGCAGACGTGGACATCATCCTCTCCATCCCCATGTTCCTGCGGCTGTATCTGATTGGCCGGGTCATGCTCCTGCACAGTAAGCTCTTTACGGACGCCTCGTCACGCAGTATCGGAGCCCTCAATAAGATCAACTTTAACACACGCTTTGTCATGAAGACTTTGATGACTATCTGCCCAGGCACAGTCCTGCTGGTTTTCAGCATATCATCATGGATCATTGCTGCCTGGACTGTGCATGTCTGTGAGAGGTGAGATAAACCTTTGATTTCTGAAGAAACACTGTTTGTACCTGGAGTAGTAAAGGAATATTCCACCTAAAAATGAACTCAACCCTCATATTGATCTAACTTTCTTCCTTCTACACTAAAAAAGATTTTGGAAACACTTCACAGTAAGGTTCCATTTGTAAACAGTAGTTAACTACACTAGTTAACATTAACTAACAATGAAAAATACTTCTAAAGCATTTATTAATCTTTGTTAATGTTGATTCCAACATTTGCTAATACATTATTAAAATCAAAAGTTGGATCTATTAATATTTTATTGACCTGAGCTAACATGGACTAGCAACGAACAGTTGTATTTTTATTAACTACCGTTAACAAAGATTAATAAATACTTAATGTGTTGCTCATTGTTAATGTTAGTTAATGCATTAAATATAGTTGACAATTGGAACCTTATTGTAAAGTGCTACCATTTTTTTTTTTTGAAGTCGCAAAGATTATTGGAGTAGTTTTTACAAGAAATTCTATATCAGTCTTTCTACTTTAAAATTTCATGTTTAATTTATTGTTTTACTTGCCATTTCTTAGAAATTGCTAGTAAATTTCACAATTAATTTGTAAAAAAAAATAAATAAATAAGTAAACCGGTAAAAATTGTTTCAAAATAAATCCTACACCATTTTCAGTGTGTGGTACACAAAATGTGAACTTCTGACGAAAAATCAATGAAAATATCTATTTTTCATATATGGTAAGTGAATGAGGATGTCAAGCTCCAAAATGACAAAAAAAGCACCATTAAAGTGCCACATTTCACTCATGCACTATTTCCATGTCTTGTGAAGTCATTCAGTAAGTTGTGTGATGAACAGATCAAAATTATAACCTAGAGCCAAAAAGCTGACAGGCTGTTTTTGTTGTCCGTATGGCTTTTCTAGTCCATTTCAAAGTTTATTAGATGTAGGGGAACAGTGTCTTAAATTTCAGTCTGTTTCTCACTCAAAGCTATTATATGGCTTCAGAAGTATTGGAATATGGCACATATTTGGACTGTTCGATACTTCTATGGTGCTTTTTTAGTTATTTTAAAGCTTGACAGACCAAGTCCCCATTCACTTTTATTATAACGAGAACTCAGGATATGCTTCCACAGAAAAGAGAATGTCTAATGGGTTCAAAATAAAAAAATTTGAGTTAATAATGGCAGATTTTTCATTTTTGAGTGAATAATTCCTTTATGTGGTTCTTTCCTTCCAACGCAGTTGGTCAAGACCCAATGTTGTTGCTTTTAAATGTGATATCAGTGCAAGCGGATGTGTGCGTGTTTCATTGTTCATGGTTTTGTTCTATGTTTCTCCCACATGGCTGCTGCTGGATAGGGGTCCAAAGTGAGTCTGTGATCTGCAAGGAAAAACTATCACTTGGCTCTTAGCTTCTGCTCATCTCTCTTGATGAGCTATACTGGCAAATAGGGCTGGGTGATTTTCCCGATTTTATCGATTAATTCGAATGTATTGTTTTGCCACGATTTTATTTTTTAGAAATCTAGGAATAGAGATTTTGAATAGAAATATTACCAAATGTTAGAATTAGACACTTTGACAATATGACAGTAAAGAGAAACGAATGATCCAACCGCATGTCGGTGCCCGTGAATAACCGCTCCTGTGTGACGCGCTCTGTGAAGGACCATTAATATAGCGCTAAGCGCCATTCACACAGAATGCGCTTTTGTGTTGACAAAGATGCGACGCAGGCAGTGGAATAGGTAAAGCTTGCAAGAAGATGGGAGTGAACTTCTTTTAACTTGAGCGCAGTGTTTTTAGAATGGCGTTTCATGCATGAGACACTGCAAGAGACACGAGCGCAACAGAAAAAACAATGGAAAAGCAGCGTAATCTAATAAAAAAACCTGTAAAGAACTACTACTGTATATCTGATATTTCATGTTTGCATCATGGTGACAGACTGAAAGCTGCTGTTTTTACAGAACATTTATAGTTAATGATAGTCTACTGGTGTTATACCTTCAGTCATTTTGAATTTGAATTACCGTGATTTTTTAAATTTTTTAAAAGCATTTTCCTCGTATTATTTCTGAACACATAAGATGTATAAGACAAGTTTGTACAATATGTACTTGTAGTTTATTCATCTTTTCTGCAAAGATATTTAACAAGTGATTTGTTTAACATTTACATCATGTTGACAACTTCATGTGTGCTGCACTTAGAATAGAATTTTCTTTAACTAGAGGGTTAATGAAGAAAATGTAACTTGAATCATGTTGTAGTTACATTTTCAAGTTGACTTGTTAAAAATCGTAAAAAAAAAAAAAAATCGAGAATCGGTCAAACATTCTCGAAAAATCGAGATTTTAATTTTTTGCAAAATCGCCCAGCCCTACTGGCAAAACAGCAAATTGCTGGCATCCTGGAAATCCCAAATTCTGTTTATATCCAAATTCAGATCCATGTGTTTTCTCCTGTAAATTGTCTGTCATCTTATAGCCTCTGATATAGAGTGACCTTAGCGTTGGGTAATTAAATTTTTGAGTCATTCTTTGGATTTTGGGATTTTCACAGAGCTGACACCATGTGTCAACATGGTGGTCATCATGTTCATGGCAGCCTGTTCTTTTCCTAAAGCGCTGTCAAATATTTGACCTTTTCTGGTGCTCTAAAGTGCTATTCTTACCAAGATACCATCTTGGCCTAGACCTCGGGGAAGAGTAAAGATCCAGTATGTTGTCATGACCCATAAACATAGAGAGAGCAGCACTGCTATGCTGATCAGGTCATCCTGAGCCCTTTAGCCAGGTTCTGCGCCCACTTCTTACCCATTAGACTATATGTGCTACGTCATCCACCTGCTATTTCTTCACTGCACTGCACCACAACAATTGTCCATAGTGTACAGTATATATGGGTTTTCTTCAACTACGGCCACATTTAACCCTGACTTATAGAATATAGACATAATTTTCACATCCCTGTAAGTTTATTTCATTTGTGTACTAACAAAGTTTAACAGCTGACATAAATGCATCACAGGAGAATTGCTGTTTTTTCTTTTTTCACCAGAGTTTAACAGCATTCTATTCTAAACATTTTCCCCACACAAAATTACATCATTTTTGTGTTGATAGTGATATTTTTCTTTGTTTCACTAAGGTACATTTTTATCAGTTGGTCATGATGCAAATTATGCCACAATGGAGGACTGGTATATTTTTTTACACACATTAAAAAAATAATAATGAAATAAAAAATATGAAAACTGTTAAATGAACGATGTTGACATATAATTTTTTTTTTGATGATTATAGAGTTTAAAATACAATATTTTTATTTTTTTCATAAATGTTATGACTGAAAATAATTATTTAAATTATTTAAATAATCTTAAAATGAATGAATTAATTTAGTTTTTAAACCTGATCTGAGGTACAAAATCACCCCTTTAATTATCTTTTTTTGGACTTTCATTTCTCACACTTTTTTTCCCACACAATATCAAAGCATGGTTGTGTTAGTGATTTTTCTTTGTTTTACATGGTAATAGCTTCACTAAGGTAAAACTTTATCAGTTGGTTAAGGATGCAAATAATGCCGCAACTGCAGACTGGCATATTTTTACATAAATTAAAGAAAAGTATAAAAATGTAAGTTTTTAATTTTTTTTTTATATATTCCATTGCTGAAAATCTGGATCTTAAACAAGGATAAGACAATTTAAAAAAATTTGTGTGATTAAAAAAAAAACTGCATTTATAAAATTAAAGGGATAGTTCACCCAAAAATGAAAATTAGCCCATTATTTACTCACCCTCAAGCCATCCTAGGCATATATGACTTCCTTCTTTCAGATGAATCCATCCGCTGCGCTTCCGCTTTCGTCACTTCTGAGCAGCGCATGCGCAACGCCGTCATCCGCCCGGAACTGCTTTTATGTACAACAGTGAGCGCAAGCTAGATTAAATTAATTATTACGTTTTAAATATGGATATTTTTCTTACAAAAACACATTGGTTCACTACAGGAGGCCTTTGTTCACCCCCCTGGAGCCGTGTGAGACACTTTTTATTATGGATGGATGCGCTTTATTTCACTTCTTTTGGACTGATGCACTGCAACGCACGCTGACTGCCATTAAACAGCTTGGAAGATCAAAGACAATTTTTAATATAACTCCGATTGGATTCATTTGAAAGAAGGAAGTCATATTCACCTACGATGCCTTGAGGGCGAGTAATTCATGGGATAATTTTCATTTTTGGGTGAACTAACCCTTTAAAAGTGTCCGCAGTTGTTGAAACATCCATATCTTCAATGAAGTTTATTTTTCTTACCCCATTTTTCTTGTTTAACAAAATTTTTGTGGTTTATACTTAAAACAATATAGATGTTTGTTTTTCAGATAAATTTATCTTGTTTTAAGCATGCCCAGATACTGTTACTGGAAAGACAGATTTAGAAAATGGTCTTTTTTTGCAGTGTGGTTGAGAAAAAGTGCTGAGGACATTAACTAAGCTAATGTGCTAGTCAGGTGTCATGCTAGCTTGTTATTTTTCTGTATTCTCATGTCTTGTGTGAGAGTTACAGTGGATGAATCTGTCGGAGGGAGAGGTGCTTTATCAGCACCTTTAGAACCCTCCGAGACTCTGTATTTCCCTTCGCTTCACCCCTAAATGGCCACAGCTACTTCTTCACTTTAAATCATTTGTCGGCAGGCTAGTCGACAGTCCTCGTTTAATAGCACTCAAGCTAATGAGTCCTCAGTTAAATTCGTGGGCATAGAAGCTGGACGCTCACTGATTGATTAATTTGAACATAAATGTAGAGTTACTCCGTAGTCAGCACATGGACATATTGTTCATGCTGATGGAACATGGATTTGAGGCCAAGAGAAGACCTTGTTCTGAAACTGACATCTTCATCATTTTTTAATTGTTTTATTATTTACATTTGGTGGTTGGGGTGAATGTTTCTGGAACTGAGTGGACTGTTTTGTTATGAACGCTGGAAGAATCGACATGGTATGCTGTACCCTTTACAGAAATTTGCCATGGTAACCTCCAAAAGTGTCACCAAAAATATAGTTACTGTGATTATTGTTGCTACTGTGCAAAGCTTTCAGAATGTTTCTGCCATTTTATTTACATTTTTTATCAGCAAATACCAAGTCACCACTGATTTATTCTAGTAGCAGTTACTGTAGTAACTGGCAGTTACAGTGGCAAATTTCTGTATGGGTCGAATCTATGTTTAAGATTCTGTGAGATGTACAAGTGAAGCTCTCTGAAGTTCTCTGTTTTGAGATAATGCTAAAGTGCCTTGGTTTAAATTGACTGCCTGAACGCTCTTATGTGCCCCATACTGTCAGAGCAGTGCATTATCTGAGTTCATGGCAGCTTTGGATTTGGTTACACTGCCAGCATGTTTTTCCATATAGCCGTTTTATGCTCGTGTAATGGACTGTGACTCCCACAATAGTTTTACACAGACGCATTCTCCACACCAGACCGAGCTAGAACACTGGGGAACAAGAGCAAGCCATCTAATAGGCCCTGGCTGCCCTCTCGTTCATACGAGCAGGACAGCACTTCTTTAAAATTACGTATACAAAGGCACCTTGATTTATATTTGGGCTGTCCGCCTTTTTATCCAGTGCGGTCAGGCCTGAATATTGATATATGCTGCTGCATTCAATACTTGATATTGATATTGCACTTTAGGTCGCCTTTAAGATTACCCTTCAAATGTAATTGGGCTTCTCAAAGACCCCTAATGCAAAGTGTACCTGTATATTTGAGCTGTGCAACAGTGTCGATGTGCAGTGCTGCTCAAATTTCAAAGGGACTGTTTGTATTAAGTTTTGTAACTATAGTATGGGACAAATCAATGAAAATCTATGAAGATATGATTGCAGCAGCACAATGTATTGAGTAGGTATGAGAGTAACAAAAAAAAAAATTCCCAGGTTAATTTTGTTTGTAAAGGAAAATGCAGCTACTATTGTGTTTATTAATTTATTTAAATGTGTTTAAATTATTAAAAGAATATAATGAATTAATTTGGATTATATCCTAAACTGATATACAAGATGCACATGCATTTTTTTTCATTTCATTTTGTTTGTTAATGTAAATGTAAGTTTTATTATATGTAATGTTATATTTATTAATTTATTTAAAATTGTTGAAATTATAGAAATAATCTAAGTCATTCATTAATTTACATTTTAACCTGAACTGAGCTACAAGAATTACTCTTAAGTAATTTTGTTCCTCAACATAAATGTAGCCACTATTATAGGTATTCATTTATATTTTTTTAAATAATCAAAATAATAATTTAGAGTTTGAACTAAGGTACAAGAATCAATTCAAGTATTTTGCTTTAGTTCATTTTGTTTGTCAACATAAATGTAGCTACTTTTATATTTCTTAATTTATTTAAATTATTTTAACAATGAAAATCAAATTTATTAATTTAGATTTTAACCTGAATCTAAAAAAATCCCCCCCGCTCATAATTCATATTAATTAAATTTAGTAAAATTTTAAATTCTGTTTTTTTTTTTTTTTCAAACTCGTACTGGGTGCACCTTTGAGTACTTTTCTTTTTGAAAATGTATCCTATAAGGTATTGATTAGCCACTCTTATCAAATTAATCCCAGCATTTTCTTGTCATTTTATCTCATCAGATACCACGATAAAGTGGAAGTCACCAGTAACTTCTTGGGAGCCATGTGGCTGATCTCCATAACCTTCCTGTCTATTGGTTATGGAGACATGGTGCCTAACACATACTGTGGGAAGGGAGTGTGTCTCCTTACTGGAATCATGGTGCGTCTCTCTTTTACCCTATTAATTATGTCCAAATGATGCACAAGTCTTACAGTTAAGACATTCATGTTCTTGCAAGTTTATCTGCATATATTTTTACAGTTATTAGTGTCCACTCAGCCATAACATCATCAGGCCATAAAGCCATTTTGTAGAGGAACTGTATATAACAATTCTATTTTTGAGATATTTACACCCTCGTGAGTTTATCCGCATATTTTTTTTACAGTAATTAATGCCCACTCAGCCATAACGCCATCAAGCTGTGAAGCCATTTTATAGAGGAACTGCATTTAAAAAGTGATTTTGCTATGATTTGTGTTGTGTGTTTGTGTGTGTTTTCAGGGGGCCGGTTGCACTGCCCTAGTGGTGGCTGTCGTAGCCAGGAAGCTAGAGCTCACTAAGGCTGAAAAGCATGTCCATAACTTTATGATGGACACTCAACTCTGCAAAAGAGTGAGCATGTTTTAATATACAGAATTGTAGCTAAGTGAAAACCAAGTAAGTATAAAATAAATGTTAGACAGAGCAGTAAAACTCGCTGCAAAAAGCACTTTGGGCCAAATGTTGATGCTGCAAAAGCTGTGGAAACTAGCCAACATTCCCTTGATGCGATCATTTTCTAGCCAAAACCTGGCATGCATATCTCACCCATATCGCTAATTCACCAGAACCTTCCAGAGTCTACAACTAGTAGCACTTAATGCTGTATTTCAAGAGCATTCACTTTGAATATTTTTATGACGTAGTAAGTTACCAAACATACTGTACATCTTTCTGTCCGCACTAGCTGTAGTGATGATTTAAAGAGAGAGTTCACCCAAAAATGAAAATTCTGTCATTAATTACTCACACCCTCATGTTGTTCTAAACCTGTAAGACCTTTGTTTATATTTAGAACACAAATTAAGATATTTTGGATGAAATCCGAGAGCTTTCTGACCCTGCATAGACAGCAACGCAACTGACACGTTCAAGACCCAAAAAGGTAGTAAGGACATCATTAAAATAGTCCATGTGACATCAGTGGTTCAACTAAGAAAACAAAAATATTGACTTTATTCAACATTTTCTTCGTGTCAGTTGCGTTGCTGTCTATGGAGGGTCAGAAAGCTCATCAAAAATATCTTAATTTGTGTTCAGAAGTTGAAAGAACATCTTGTGTGTTTGGAACGACATGAGGGTGAGTAATTAATGACAGAATTTTCATTTTTGGGTGAACTGTCCCTTTAAAAAGTTTCTTATCTGGACTTCATTTGCTCACAGGTGAAAAACACGGCTGCTAATGTACTCAGGGAAACATGGCTAATCTACAAACACACAAAGCTTGTGAAGAAGATTGACCATGCCAAGGTCCGGAAACATCAGCGCAAGTTTCTGCAGGCCATTCACCAGTACGTATTTTTGCAACATTTAATCTTTGGAATCTTCCTTTTGCTATGTCTGCTGTCTGCATTTGTATTTTATATGAGATGAGATATAAATCTACATTTTATGGTGCTTAAAACTGGATTTAGTTCAAGATCTCGCTTTCCAATTTAGGGAATCTACTCCCATAAAGTTTTTGATATGGAGTTTTGGAAACGGAATTGAACCTTTTAGACTGAATAGACTCAACCTCATATTTCCTTTCTAATTAATTGCCTCAGCATTTTAGGATCTTGGGAGTTTTACCTGTCAGATCATGGGATGAAATCTTGATGCTGATGATGCCAAACATAATTGTGTGCATAAATAACCAAATGCACTTTTTGGTTAAGAATTACTGTCTTGGTGAGATGTTAATGTAAACTCAGTAGCATTGTCTTAAGTAAATGTAAAAAAAAAGAAGATTGTTCTCACAATATCAGTCCAGTGTATTGGAACTTAAAGTGTAAATGCAGCATGCCACTGCCTATTATCATGTTAATATTGATCAAACAGTAATATTGGCAAAGAAGAAGAGAGAACCCACTCACTGCTGTTAATTATTTCTTTGTTCTTTATTGCTGACTGTCTATTTGTTTACTTAATTGAGATATACTCAAAGGCTACATGCCATTGCTTTCATTTAATTTGTTTATATTAATATTTCACTTTTTAAATAAAAGAGTGTGTTTCATAGCATATTAGTTTATGCTTTGAAACTTTTATGGAGCATAATGAAATATCTTTGGTATTGTGATATCCCTAGTGTACTGTAGACAGTAAGCTGGATGCATGATAGAGAAAATGTTTTTCATATATATTGTTCAATATGAAAAATTGGCGTGACAAAAATGTTGCTAAATGGCCTGGCGATGCAAATCGAATTAGTTTATTTTTTTTTTTTTTTTTTTTTTTCCAAGTCAGTCATAAAAGTTTGAAAGTCTTTTGGTGTGGTGTGCAACTTTAAACTTTGGTTTTAAAAAAAATGTATTCTGTGTTCCATTTGTTTTGCCTTAAATCACTGCAGAGCTCAGAAGTAAGTCATGTCTTCTCTTTTTCCTTACCATTGGAACCCTTTTTCATTTTTATAAGTCTTATTCAGCAATATCAACCAACATGATTTGAAGCTGGGCACCATTTTTATTTAGCATTGATATCCATTAATGGTGTGTGTTTGGATGAATTACATTTACATGGTTTACTAACCTGTTAAGGTACTTGGAGGGAAAGGTTCTTCACATCTTCTCAGCTTCAAATTTATCAGATGCCACAATGTCAGAAATTCATTCATCTAGCCTGTACCAGATTTCCACAGAACCTCGCACTGCACTTTTAGTCTTTTAGATTCTTTTAGTCGTACCACCGTGTACAATCTGCTAGTCTGCTGGTCTGCAGTGTTTTCTTGCAAACACAAATCTATTGCAAATCATTCTTATGGAGATACTTTCAGAGAAATACCAAATGTGAATGTTATTAGACTGCATGGGAAGTTTAGACACAAACTTCAGCATTTATTACTCATTTCCTTTCCCTTGGTTGGTTCGCTTTTAAAAGGGACAAATCGCCAAAGAAAAGAAAGTAAATCAATTGTAATTTCCTCAACATCGTGTTGTTCCAAATGCATATGACATCTTTAATTTCACAGTTTATTTTTTTTCAAGAACGTGAAAGTTTATGAGAAAAATACGGATGTTTAATTTGTGAATTGTTCATTTTAATCAGATTGAATTGAGTTGAATGAACTGGTTGACCATTTAATAAGTTAAAATAAATATAAATCGTTAAATAAAATACTAGCTACATTTATATTGACAAACAAAATTAACTGGACAAAAATCCTCAAAGAAATTATTTTTGTACCTCAGTTCAAGTTAATCTAAATTATGTATTTACGTTATTTAAAAAAATAATTTATTATTCAATAATAATACTGTATAATATTATCTACATTTATCTTCATAAACAAAATTAACAACAACAACAAAAAAACTCAGGACTGATTCATGTATCTCAATTCAAGTAAAAATCTTAATTATTTTATCTAAATTATTAATATTAATTAATTATTTTATTAAATTATTAATATTATTTATTTTTTTAAATATACAATAATGAATACAAATACTTTTATGTTTATTGTACCTCAGTTCAAAATCTAAATTAATTCATTAGTTATATCATTTAAATAATTGAAATTAATTAATAAATACAGTAGTAGCTTCATGTTCACATGAAAAAGAGTGACCAGTGCATTATACAAATTTGTTTCTTTTTGTGTTCCACAGAAGAAAGTAAGTCATGCAGTTTTGGAACAACATAAAGCTGATTAAATGATGAAGAGAATTTTAATTTTTAGCTGAACTAATCCTTTCAGCGCAGTAACATTTTCTGGCTGTGTTATAGGTTCTCTGATGTGAATCGCCAGTCCTGCCTCTGTTTGGCACGCGGTCAAAGTGAAAGTGCAACTGCTGAGCACAACAATTCATTTATAATGTATTTGGCCTTCACTTTTACGAGACCACATAAACATTCCCTTGCCTAATGCATACAATCATAAAATTCTATAAATATCTGCACATGAAATGCTTCATAAACTCAGCAAATCGGCCTGTGTTGTGGAGAAGGTAACAACTGCATCTGGAGTGCAGGGAACTATGGAGGTCTGGGTACAGAAACAAACAGACCAATTTTGGCCCTCCCAAAATTGAGAGTTCATCTTTGAAACAGTACAAGCTCATGTGAAAGAGTACAAAGTGTCCACCTTTTATTTTTCATAAAGCTTGCACACTTGAGTTTTTCACACTTGTTTTTCGATGGGAGGAAGAGAGTTTGAAGCAAATGGCTGGTTGGGGTTGGTTTAGGTTGCTTGGATAACTTTGGAGAAGACCGTATGTTTGAATAAGACACAAAAAGCCATCACGTTATGTTTATATTCTGCATGTGAGTATCATTGACAAGCATTTTTCTCAAGAAATTGTTGTACGGTCTGACAAAATTCCTCGTTCTACAGTTACAAAACTCTCCTCGCCATCTCCCCTTTCCTTTCTGGGTTTTGTCTGAGGTGTCCTATAGAGGAAAGCCCAGCTATGTGTATCTAGAGAATTTCTGGTGTTAGCTCTCTGAATTCAATAGGCACTGAAATTAGGTTAATGCTAATTCATCACTGCTAGCACATCTGTCATTACCATGGAGCACAAACCGTGTGTCCTCCCATTCTGTGTCTTTATCAGTTCATCTGTTTCCACGTTACACCGGCTCCAGTCTGACACGATATAATGAATGTTTTCTGCTACATCCTATTGAGTTTCAATGTATGCCGTCACACTGTTGACTAAGGTGATGTTTGGGGTGTGCTTCCACACATTTTGCACCATTCTTGCTACAATAAAGCTTTTTAGACATGACGTCAATTTGTAGGCCTCTCTGCCAGCTGCAGAAAAATATATAATGGGTTTTTAAAATAGCAACTTATAGTTTATGGTTTATGATTTACAATTAAATTGAAGTCTGTGATTAACATAAGCTTATTTGACTTTCAGGTTTTGTTTGACAATATAAATTCAAACATGAATTCTGTGGCCAGTTGCATAAAATTAGCCTATATGTTAAGACAGTGTCTTAAGAACTAGTTTAACCAACTAGCAGTTAACCAAGGGGTAATCAGTCTTATATTTTGGATTCAGCTTAGACTAATCTCTGTTTTAATGTAACCTAATTTTAAAAAATTTGACCAGTCTTAAAGAACAAAATTAGATGACTAACGTTTAAAGGGTTAGTTCACCCAAAAATGAAAATTAGCCTGTGTTTTACTCACCCTCGAAGCATCCTAGGTGTATGTGACTTTCTTCTTTCAGACGAATCCAGTCCGAGTTATATTAAAGGGGTGGTTCATTACGATTTCACTTTTTGTAACGTTAGTTAGTGTGTAATGTTGCTGTTTGAGCATAAACAATATCTGCAAAGTTACGAAGCTGAAAGTTCAATGCAAATGGAGATATCGTCTTTTAAAATTCAGGCAGTTTAATGCCTACAAAAACGGCTGGTAGGGACTACAATAAGTTACTTCCTGGGTTGGTGACATCACAAACCCAGATAAACCCCGCCTCGGGAAAAGGCAGCAAAGGGGGCGAGGCACACGTTCTGCATCTCTCTCTCTCTGTCTCTCTCTCTCTCTCTCTCTCTCTCTCTCTCTCTC